ACTGCATAATTTTAAAACAAATAAATAAAATAAAAATATTTAACTACCATATTTTTGAAATGAGGTAATTATATTTTTAAGAATAATAATATTGTTTTTAAAAATAATAATGTTTTTAATGATAATAATATTTTTTTGAATCCATTATACGAATATAGAAACGGAAATTTTTATTTACAATTTTAATCATTATAATTTCTTATTCTTATAGCTTATTGGTGCCGCTGTGGTAGGCATTATTGCTTGGTATTACAACAGAACTAGTGTCTGGTTTTCTGGAAATCCAGATTTGTTCCATTTTCTGATGGCTACCACTTTTATGATAGGCACATTTTGTCTATTGCTTTCATGTTTAACTTCGTTAAGTACGGGTGGTATTATTTCAAAAACAATATATGTGAGTTTTATATAAAACATAAGTATAAATTTGAACATTTTTACAATAAAACATTATATATTTTGCAGGAGTTAATATATCATAGCGTTGCTGCAATTCTATTGCTTGCCAGCTCTCTGAACTTTATTATTGCACTCAGCGATTCCCGATTCAAGGGCTATCACCACTATGATGCTTACATGGCTGCAGCTGTCATGGGTCTTGTAAACTGCGTACTCTACTTTATCAGTGCATTTTTGGCCCATCGATCCTACCGTGGCATTTAAATTATTTAATTTGAAATAAGTACATTTTTTAATTTACATCATAAACTTTTACTCAAATAATATAACATTACAATTATTAATAAGTTGAATATATATCAAGAATATGTAGAAAGCATTTGTCTTAAAATTGTGTACCAAATTTATTAAAACCCTAAAACTTTTTTTGTACAACTTAGCAATATAAGTAAGCACAATGTACATATATGTATGCATTTATACATATGTATGTTAATATTTTTTATAAAACAATTTAAAATTTTTTAATATGTATATATAGATTTGTTCTCAACAGTTTTTATATAATATTGAATGAAATGTGTCTTTTGTAAAACTGCTTTTAAATGATTTTAAATAAAAACTTATATACTTTTGAGTGTATGAACACATGTATCCTTTAACGATGTCTCGCATAACGAGTTGTGTCGTTAAAACTACTGTGACTACTCGCATTGCTATTGTTTCTACGAAGAAGACTACGACGGCATGCGCGATCCATTCTTCTCTTTTTCTGCAGAGCAATTTTTGTCAGATATGCGGTAAAAATGGCCAAAAGTATGCAGATTATTATACCCAAATAAATGCATCCAATAAGCATTGAGTATTTTTGGTACGTAAAAATATTTTCGTCGAAGCCATCATAGATTGTACCATAACAAAAAATGTTGAAGCAAACTAAACACGCAATGAAGTCGAATACAACAAGGATCCATTGAACAATGATGGTCTAAATGAAATTATTTTGAATTAGTTTTTATTTAATACATTACATAAATTTTCATATAATTACATAAATTCGAACTTCAAGACGTGTCCTTGCTATGTTAGAATTATAGAACCAAGTACTGAATGCAAAAATGCTAATAATTATGGCCGTAGCACACATCATAACTTGAAGCCAGAAAATCGGAAAATCTTGAGGAAAACGAACCACCATAGACAAGCATGTAACAATTCCCATGCATATTAACTATATAAAAAAATATATAAATCTATATTCGATTTGAAATATTTATATTATAACTTTATTACTCACCGCTAAAAAAAGATGCGCAAAGGCGATAACTTCTTTTTTTGCAAGTTTTGTAGGCATTTTAAGATGACTTTACCACATTACTAGTTTAAACTAGTTAATGTAATAAATAAATAACTGAAATGACCATGATAATTTATTTTACATAGTCAAGGGTCATGTGATTATACCAAATACAATTTATAGTTAATTTATAGTTAGAAATAAAAATTAGTCAGAAGAATGGTTAGTATGTTGGTTGCAGTGACAGGCCATTAGATAACTGTCATGTTATTGCAAGAACCCTAGTATAGGAGAGTAGAGACTAAATCCATCCCGCCGAATTTAGATCATTTAATAGGCCTTCCGTCTTCACCGACAGTCTACTAAACTATCAAATAAGTATCTTCCTCAGAACCTATATCTTCTGGACGTCAAAGCCGGGCATTCCAAAGAAAATGTATAATGCGGGTTACCACAACTTCTGCAGTGAGGATTATGATGAATGCGCAGTTTCTCTGCGTGGGTTCCAACACACAAATGATCAGAGAGAGCTGCAGTATAGGTATATAGGTAAACTCTTTCAACATTTTCCAGAAGCTATAGATTTCATACTTGCACTAGTTTAAATGTTACCAGACATGATTTGAGCGCCTCTATGGCCTGTTCGCCAGTAAAAAAAGCTACTCATTACTGTTTAAGATTGCAGTAAACACATTAATAACCGCACATATCTTTGTTTGAATATATAGTTATTAAGATAACCTCAAAATATTGTTACCATATAACAAATTATATTATTCAAATGGTTTATTGATATGATATTACAAATTAATTCTAATATAATAAATAATTGCCCTAAGTAATTAAGAAGAGTATGACAAGTCAATAAGTTTTATAGGTGCACAATATACTCACCTCTGATCACAGTGCACTTATGTTATTGGATATAATTCTTCTGGTAATAGAATCAAAGTAATCAACAATTTAGTAGAAGAATTAACAGGTAGTAGTAGCGTAGATATTGTTATGTAATATTTTTCAATTGGATACTTATTTTTTTTCCATAAATACATGATAAGTTATATGAAAAGGTAC